AAGTGCTGCCAGGGAAGGGAAGTCTCCACCTGCCCCGGCCATCACAGTCCAGAAATGCTTCCTTGTGTCCAACCTGAATCTGCCAGACTACATTTCGAGGACTTTCCCCTTCCCTGTTCCCTGTAGAACTAGTTTCTATTCTCTGAATAAGCAGTCGTAAAGCCGAGGCATGTTGCTATATGCCCATCTGCCTTCTCTTCTGGAGGAATCATCTGCCTTAGCCTCTCATCAGAGGTGTTTTCCTTCAGCCTTTGCAGCTTCCCATGCTCCTGAAGGCTTTGTAGGGAGCGTCCGCCTGCCTGCCGCCACGAGTGCTGGTCAGCGGCACATCAAAGCAGCCCACCGTGGGAATGCAGATGGGAAATCCACATTACAAAGCGGGAAAGTTAGAGGGGGATGGTTCACTCCATGAAGGATTTATCAGTGGAATCCTCTAAAAAGCACACTCCCCACACCACTTCGATATGCTCCACCTTGAACGCACAATGATAAAAAACGCTTCTGTTGGGAACGGAAACCACCTGTTTGTGATAAGTCTGACCCGTGGTTCTTGGTGCTAACCACTCTGGCAGCGCCTCCTATATGTGGTCTCTTTTTTGAATTAACCTGTGATGTGGCTTCCTGTAGGATGACCTTTTTGTTCTGCCCTTGATCAGCTCTTATAAAGTCAGGCCTTCCCCTTCTCCTTGGACTCTGCAGCTCGTAGGGGGTGGGAAGCTGCTGAGAACTGGTCGTGGGTTCCCCAAGGTGAATCACCTCCAGAGTGCCACCCATGCACAGCCACACTGAGGCCTGGGGCCTGTATTCTCAGAAGCGAAGCCCACTTGTTAATAGCCACTGTTTAACAGAACTTCCCTTCCAGCCCTCTTTGTAGCCCTTAGACCGCAGATTGGGTACAATAGCAGCCAACATTTACTGTGTACTTTCTGTGTCTCTGTACTTAATGTAGTAAATGACATGGATGACATCATTCATTCCTTATCCCAAACCTTATTCCCATTTTACCAGCAAGGAAACCAAGCCTCTGAAAGTCACTTTCCTGAGGGCACACGGCTGTGAGGGCAGAGCCAGGGCTTGGGCCTGGACAGGTGGACCTAACCTTGTCTCCCCCTGCTCCATTGCGCTTCAGTAACTGTTGTGTCGCACAGGACAGAATTTTAAACAGACATACCACACCTGAAATTACAGCATTCTTTCCCTTGCCTTCCCAGACCCACCTCTACCCAAAAATTGGCTCAGCCTGTTGAGACGTGTAGATGGAGGCAAGGTGATCATCTCAAGATAGCCGTGGTCCACACAGGCTGAGCTGCTGGGACTTCTACACATTTTGGGCAGGATGTGTATGTGTGCATTTACACTTCGCAAAGGGAATTGTCTCTTTTGAGTTTTCTGATCTTTGTTTTTTGTTTTTTTTTTCCGCAGTGTAACAATTTTTTCTACCCTCTTTGCTTTTTGTCTGGATGGAGAGGTCCGGGCATAGACTAAGATCTGTTTATTGAGGGCTTGGCTCCCTGTGGTCTGTTCCAGCCTTTATCAGTGAGAGCTGTGTCCCTACCATACCAGCCCTTGCTCCTGTCACACTCCTACTCCCACCCTCAGAAGTTCCAAGGACGTTTCAGTGGCTGCCCCTCTGATCAAAAGCACTTCAAATGCTCTGTATCCAGTGGTAGCAAACAGGTTCATGTTCCTCCTCCCCACCCTACACCAGTTCTCTGGGAAGGACCACCCTCTGCAGACCTCCAAGCACTTTGAGCTCATCTTCCCAACACCTTCAGGCCATAGTCATTTCCCACCCACTGTGTAACGATCAGATTCAGGTATGTCTCTCCTGCCAGACTGTGGAGTTCACAAAGGCAGAGGTAACCTCTGTTCTCTGCTGTATCCCCAACACTTAGCACAGTGCTGATGCTGAATGCACTTCTTCAGATAGTTGAGTGAATGAGAGAAAGTCCTCCAGCCCAAGGCTGCCGCCTCCCAGACAGGACTGAGCAGTCTGGCCTCCCTGTCAGCGACCTCACTGACTAGGGCCAGGTTACTGTATTTTTCCCACAATTGCAGAAGGTCTTGGGAGCCTCTTATTTCCCAACCTGGATAGTCCTAGATTAGCAACCCTCTAGGAATCAAAACTAAGTCAGCCTCAGCCTGTAGCACACCCGAGGTGGGCCGATGCACCCTCATGAAGTGGCCAGTGTGAGTTTTCTCTGCAACTTACAAATCGTCATCTTAGAGAGAAAGCACCTGCTCAGAATCTAACATTTAAAACAGTAACATCTTGTCTTTTATTTTTTTGTATAGGTGTGTGAACTTAATGATATAAAAAAATAAAACGAACACTGAACACTATTTATGTTCTTCCAGTTCCTTTTCTGATCTTTATCAGCATTATCTGAATATTTTGTGGTTTTCCTCTGTTTTCTGCTTTACATTATTTTTACATTTAGAATTGCTGCATGCACACATTTCCATGTGTTGACAATTCATATACTTTTTCTTGTTTTGCTATTCTGAAACATGATCTTATAATCAAACTCTAGGTCTTGAATATCTTTGTAAACAGACACAGAGCTACCTTGCTAGTTTTCATGATTGGGTAGAGTTCAATGCTGGGTGAATCCTAATGTTTAACCTATTGGTAGACATTTACGTTGTTTTTTGTTTTTTGTTTTTTTTGAGACGGAGTCTCGCTCTGTCACCCAGGCTGGAGTGCAGTGGCACTATCTCAGCTCACTGCAAGCTCCGCCTCCTGGGTTCATGCCATTCTCCTGCCTCAGCCTCCTGAGTAGCTGGGACTACAGGCACCCACCACCAAGTCCGGCTAATTTTTTGTATTTTTAGTAGAGACAGGGTTTCACCATGTTAGCCAGGATGGTCTCGATCTCCTGACCTCGTGATCTGCCCGCCTTGGCCTCCCAAAGTGCTGGGATTATAGGTGTGAGCCACCGTGCCTGGCCATATTTTGTATTCTTTTTTTAAAAAAATTCATGCAATATTGTAGTGAATGTCCTTAAATACAGTTTTCTTTAAAGGCTAGAGTTTATTTGTAGGATAAGTTTCTGACAGTAGAAATGCTGGGTCAAAGAATATGAACACAAAAACATATCCTCCAAAATCATCTCTAAAATGGCCATGCCAATTATACATTCTTCAGTAATCTATTTAGTTTTTAAACATGACTTGCTGTTGTATATGTTGATGTGCCATGGTTTGTTACCATTTTCCTGTTGTTGAGCCTTTCAGTCACGTCCCATGTTTTAAGCTGTCATTTTTCGTCTTAGTTGTAAGGTTACCTTACCTTTCCAAACCCCCTAGTATCTGAGTTTTGTACTCTTGAAAACTGAAGAGTTTGGTTAAAACAGGCAGTATTTCATCATGATTGTTTTCCATACTATGCAGACAAGAAAACGGAGGCACAAGGGTTAGGTGCTTTACCCAGAATTCTGCCATTATGGCAAAGCTTTGGTTGAGACGCCCTCTCCTGCCTCTCCCTGCAGAGTACTTTTCCCCTCTGCCATGTTCTGGAGAAGGGACTGACCCAGCCCCCTTTGAGTCTCAGTGGGTGGGAGTCTGTGAGTTTCGGTTCACTCCATTCATACCTCATAGCTCCCACCATAAACTGCTGCAGTCCCTGGCACAGGGGTGACATTGCTGACTGGTCCTGGCAGGGCAAGGCACCAAGATGACAACCCCAGGTGCCGTTCGCTGAGGCTGTATCCAGCCCATCCTGTTCCTCTTGGCTCTTGGGGCCCTGCTTTTGCAGGCCTGTTGGCTGGAGTTTGGGTGGTCTGTGGCCGTGGAACAGAGTGACGCTGAACTGCTTCCTTCGCCAGAGGTTAGAATTGGGTCCTTTGGCTCAGTAACGCAGTCTCCAACCACTGGAATTTATCAGCCACAAGTTTCTAGGAAATGCAAATTAAGGCTGCAGAAGAAATTCAAGAGGATTTTGACAAAGAGAAACCCTAGGACGAGTTTCCTCTGAAGACTTCTGAAGAAAGGGTCCTTGGGGGATTGGAAGTGGAGCAAGAGTTAGGAGGCCAGCTTTTCTCTGCCCAGACAGGCATGGGAAAGGTGACTTAGCCTGCACAGAAGTGGTTTTGAAGGAGGGCATGGGTTGTGCCACTGCAGGGTATAATCCATAGGGTAGAGCAGGTGGCTGGTGGCTCTTCAGTTCTTATTCTCAGGATACTCACCCCTTTAAACTCAGAACTCACGTGATTTGGCTATTCAGGTCCCCCTTCACCCGTCCAATGGCCCCCTACCTAGAGGCCTCTGAGCTAAACTTCCAGGTCCTCAGTGTGACCTGGCTTATCTACACACACTCGGATTAGCCCATTCAAGTAATTTAGACTAGGGTGAGAATGACAGGAAATATTTTACAATTTAAATGAAATGCTGGGAAGCCCAGAGACATCTCTACTTGGTGGGATACAAGGCAGATCTTGAACTTAAGATTTCTTTCTTTTTTTCTTTTTTTTTTTTTTTAAAGACGGAGTCTCACTCTGTTGCCCAGGCTGGAGTGCAGTGGTGTGATCTCGGCTCACTGCAAACTCTGCCTCCCGAGCTCAAGTGATTCTCCTGCCTTAGTCTCCTGAGTAGTTACGATTATAGGCACGCCACCATGCCTGGCTAACTTTTGTATTTTTAGTAGAGACAGGGTTTCACCACGTTGGCCAGGCTGGTCTCCAACTCCTGACCTCAAGTGATCCGCCTGCCTCGGCCTCCCAAAGCACAGGATTTTTATTCCTTAAGTTATCCTTCTGTATCTTACCTGCCCCCGCCCCCTCGGCCAGGCTAGAAAACCGGCAGTCAGCAACTTGTCATTTCTCTTTTGCAAATCTGTCAGCTCTTTCCATGTTAGACTATTCTTTCAATCCACTGAAAATGCCGTGTGCTTTTACTGGAACCCAGGCAGACGAAAACGGCTCTGGGGTAACAGGGTTTCTGGCTGGAGGCCCTTTCTCTTCATGAAGTCACACGAAGCCCGTGTCCCCTTCCTTCTGCAGGCTCTGATGAGGAGTACATTTATATGAACAAAGTGACCATCAACCAGCAACAGAATGCAGAGTCTCAAGGCAAAGGTATGAGGCTGGGATCACTGACGGGATGGCCACTCCCGGGCTGAGGGAAGGTCCACGCTGGTTCTGTCCCACCTCTTCTTCCTCCCAGCCGGCACACAGACCCGCCTGGCGGAGTTATTTTTGGAAGCCACATTTTGGTTGGTGGTATTTTGGGTTGATGTATTTTGGGATGTTTCAACAGGCCACCCCCTCCTTGCCCATTGGATAAGGAATCTGGCCCTAAAACTTTTTGGCTGTTCCCAGCATCATCCTAGGAACAGGAAATCATAATTCAGATGTTCGAAGAAAGCAGCTGTGTGTGGTGCTGATCCCACGGTTCTGCCTTTATATCTTTTGATAGAAGTCTGTTTTGAGGAAGAGGAGAGAGAAATAAATGGTGGTGTCAGCAACTGCCTTAATAGTCACAGATGATGTTCAAAGGTGCTGTCTTTGGTGGAACGTTTTGTCTCCCATGGGAAGGACATATGTTGTCTTCCATGGTGCCTCCCTCTTCTGCTCTGTTGTGCTCTCTGCTTTTCCCTTAAAACCTCCAGGGAGGGGCCTGGCAAGACCCTAGGGAGGCCCAGAGGTATGCAGAGCTGCCTAGTTGCAGAAGAGGCAGGCTAAGAAGCACCATCTCCTAACTCCCAAGCCTGTGACTCAAACACAAAGACTTAGAGAGGGGTGGGAACACAGCATTGCAAAGCACTCAGTCCCGTCAAAGGCTTGTCTTTGAGACATCAGCCACCAAATCCCCGAGGTCGGGCCTGCCTGAGACTGTCTGTCCCAGGGCTGGCTGAAATGGACAGGCTCAGAAGTGTCTTTGGCACCTTTCCTTACAAGTGCACCGAGGGTTGGTGGCCTCACTTCGCCAGTGTGGCTCCTTCACTTCCTGCCCCTCACCAAGCCTGAGACATGGCAGAACCCATCCAGATGAGGTTGGCCACTCTGGTGGGGGTCGCTTGCCTTCCGGGTATACTGTGGGAGGAAAAAGTCATAATCACAGGGTCCATGCTGAGAGTGGCTCAATATAGTGGCCGCCAGGCAGCTCCTCTGCTGGCCGAAGCTCTGTGGCTAGACCATTTTTTTGATGTGGGGTGGGTAGGGGAGCAGGTACAGAGGCTGCCAGAAATACCAGGCACATGGCTGGGGCACTCCTGTACCCTATCCTTGGAGGAAAAACAACTTCAGCTCCAGAGACCGCCTGCCTGGATAATAAACACCTCAAAAAGAGGTGCATGTGCATGTGACCAGGAATGGTGCATGTGACCGGGCATTCCTGAGGAAGGAGACCCTGGGTGAGGCTGCTCACCCCTCACCGAAGCCTTCTCCTTTTGCTGCCCGCAGTGCCTGAGGAGCAGGGCCTGCTGCCCAATGGGGAGCCCAGCCAGCACTCCTCGGCCCCTCAGAAGAGCCTTCCAGACCTCCCACCACCTAAGATGGTAAGTGTCAGTCCAGGACCCCTGATTTCCCTGATGTGAGCCCCTTGAACATCCAGTTGTCCTCACAGGTGTCAGCTCACTCAGCGTCTGGCATTTTCTGAGCAACTACTGTGTTCAGGGACGGGGACAAGGCACGGGTAGGGACAGAGCAAAAGTAAACCTGCCTACAGGGGATTTGCTTGGGGCCGCGGTACTCCGGATGCTGAGGGTGATGGGTCTGGGGAAATTTGATTGAGTGCCACCTGACGCTACTCAGGCTCTTTATCCAGTATCATGTGAACAGGGCCATGAACAGCTGTGGTCATCAGCCTAGGCCACAGTGACCTTTAAAAAATTTGCAAGAGCCAGGTGTAGTGGTGCATGCCTGTAGTCCCAGCTACTCAGGAGGCTGAGGCAGGAGGATTGCATGAGGCCAGGAACTGGAGGCTGTAGTGCACTGTGATCACACCTGTGAATAGCCACTATAGGCCAACCTGGACAACATAGCAAGACCCCATCTCTAAGATATAAAATAAGTGAATAAATAAATAAATAAATAAATCATTCCCCTATGTTGTTCTGGAGTTAAAAAGCAAAGGAAAAGTAAAAATTCATAAATCATATCATACTGCACTTCCTGCTTGAACCTTACCAATAGTTCTTATTAAACATAGAAAAAACAAAATCCCATTTCTTAGCATGGCCTCAGGGCCTGTGATCTGGCTCAGCTTCATTGTCCGGCCTCCTCATACAGGGTCTTCACTGGCCTCCCTTCTGCCCCTGGATTCTGTCACTGTGGTCAGGCCTGCTTTAGGGATTTTGCACCACCTGGGCC